CGAGTGTAGCTCAGGCCATATACTGCTTTATTTATATTGCCGGATCTAACTTCTCAACGACACGAACTTTTAAGAACTTAAGTAAAGAGTTTCGAAGGCGGACATCTGAGTGTAAGTTAGGTGAACGAATTTAACATTACGATCTTGGTGTTGTTTTGGCCAAGTTAGGTCAGGTTATGGGCCAAGTTAGGTCAGGTTATGGGCCAAGTTAGGTCAGGTTAAGTTATGGCTGCTTCATAATTTATTCACCCCAGATCACTTCGTAGTGTCGTAATAACTTTAAGCGTCTGTGTGGACATAAACCCGTCTAGTACTGCCTGGGGTGAAGGGGGAGGGGTAGACGTAAAGACAAGAGCTCCTCATACGCACTGGTCAAACAATCTACCTCACTTACCAAGGAATAAATTATCAGGAAAAACCCAACTTTGTAACGTCTGGAATTACCCGCAGTTACCATCAACCAAATGACAAGGCATATTTATCAGTGTTGTTGACGTCTCCGTGTTGGTGTTGACATCAAGACCTCACCCAATATTAATAAACAAGATCGGACTAGCCCTCGAGACTTCTAATCATCGTAAATCCTTGAAGGTTAAATTTTCCTACAGTAACAACAGCCACCAACAAGCTAAACACGTAGTCGACATTTTTAACAAGGGGTAAATAACGTCAACACTACTAAGACCAGTACGGACACCCTGTTATAGAGGAGGGAGGCCGGGGTAATGACTGGAGTAAATCATAACCAATGTATTTTCTACTCACCTGTCACTAGGAACACAAGAGCTGATGACTTCAACCCAACTGTCAGCCTCACTACCCAGCTCACCACACAGCCTGTTAAAGGAACTCCTGGACACGGGAACAACACACCGCCACAACCACCTGGTGCTGATCTGTGCCGGTCCGCCTCCACACCAACACTGGCAGGACAGAAGCTTTGACGCTCCCTCTCTACCTACCTCTCTACCCTGGGTACCGCCACACCCCCTGCTCTTACCCTTCCCCCCTACCCCTCTCACTCCCCCTCCCCCTGTCTCCAATTATCCCGCTGATACACACACACACACACAAAAACACAGAATTTTTCATTTAAATTCAACTTGTTTTTATCTATTGAGACGTATAAGCCTCTGCCAGCACCACCTCATCCCGACTGCAGCCTCCGTCAGGTTGAAGAAGGAGAGATGAATGCTTGTTTATCTGTGAGGAGTACCTGGCAGAAATGAGGTTAATGAGGTAGGACAGGAGTTTGTTTCTTTATCCATGAGTGGATACCTGAGTTAGTAATGAGGGAGGAAGAGGAGTGATAGCGTTAGGTTAGGTTACGTTTTAGTTGACGTTAAGGATGACAGTTTAAACCACCATCCTCAAAGGGTTAAACCACCATCCTCAAAGGGTTAAATCATCGTCTTTTAAGTGACAAATAAAAAAGCAATAAAAGTGACCCTTATAAAAAGTTATAAAAGTAACACAAGAAAAGTATTAAAAGTTGTGAAAGTTCTAAAGGTAAAATGAGTTACAAAGTCGTTCATCTAATCTGTATTATTTCTAGCAGAAAGAACTGGTAGTGGCTATTTGTTCACACCGTTACACTTCTTGTTCATCCTGTCCTTCTTGTTCTCATTGTTGCTGTTCTTGTTCTCGTTCCTATTGTTCTCCTTTTCCTTGTTCTTCTTGTTCTTGTTGTTCTTTTTGTTATTGATGTTATTCTTGTTTTTATTGGAGGAAAATTGGGAAGGAGGAGGAAAAGGGAAGAGGAGGTAGAAAATAGAGAAGGAATAAGAAGAAGAAGAAGAAAACGAAGAGGAAGATGATAATAGTAATTAGTACTGACAATATCTAGGAGGATAGGTAAGGTAAAAACAGTCCCTAAAACACACACACACACACACACACAAAATGGTGGGCTGTAGTCGCCAACCCTCAGACTAGAAAATGATACTTTACTCAGTACTATAAAAAGTTGTACACCAATATAACAAAAGTTTAATATTTAAGAAAAATAATGAAACAAAAAAAATTGTGTCATTGTTTTTTGTTGTTGTTCACGCGTTTAATTTTTCCTTGAGTTTTTATTTTTTTTTGGGGACTTTCTACGATGATTCAGCAGTTTTTTGTTGTTATGTGTTTACAGTTTCTAACAAATATTGAGCTTATCCCCCACCCCTTAGTTCCTCCGTCCCTCCCTTCCTCCCTTAGTCCCTATCTCCCTTTGTCTCTCCCTCCCTCACACTCTCCCTCCTTCTCCTCCCTGGCTAATCATCAGGTAAAATAAACTAGGGTGTCTAATCCACAAATAAAACAAATTACAATGTCTAATCTTCAGGTAATCCCAATATTCGACCCAAGAGGTTCAGCAGGTCACGTGTCCACCTCATGGCATGAATAATGGACTCGACTGCACCACGGCGAGAACTACTGTAGCAACATACCCTTCTAGAACAGGTTATAACCCTCTCGGCATGTACTCCAGTTTATTGTTGCTTGGACAGAAAGACAGTACAGCTGCAGCATGGTAGAGAGGACGAGTAGTGTGTGTGTGTGTGTGTGTACGTCTGGGGAGGGGGGGGTCCCTATAAAAAAAAATGTCCAAGAACTTATGACCAAAATTGAATACCTCGTAATAAATGTACACTCTGCGACAGACATCCTCACTACCAGGCACATGATGATAAATACATCGTCGAGGTTAATTTATTTTTTTTCATTTATGTATCAATAGAATATAGATCCTTGATATTTACGTTGTTTTTTTAAGTAAGAAACATATGAAGAATAAAATATCTACATCCTTTTAGCTTTGTGTTTTGAGAATCAGCCAATCATATGAACCGATGGTGATGACGTAGGTTTTATGGTGTTTTTGATTGGTTGAATTAAAAGGGCAACAGCTAATGAGATAGGGGGGTCGTTCAATAGGTCGTACTAGACCTAGGTGGTGGTGGTAGTGGTAGTGGTGATAGTAGTGAGTCTTTTTAACTTAATATAACCAATGAAATATCGTTTCATTATAATGGTGTATTGTGATTGGCTACTAAATCTTAACTAGAACCCTAAACCTTATTCTTTTAGTATCTGCACCCGATCAACACAGCCAATCAAAATTAAAATTAGTCTTGAATGTCCTCTGTGATTAGTTTACAGTACAGTAAACATTGCTTTATGCCTTTCTGTTGTCTGACGCTTAATTCAACCTCCCTCATCGTTCTCACCTCCTCATAATCTCTCTCCTCCCCCTCTTCACTCCCTCCCTCACCCTCACCTCTTCGTATACAGCATCCTGTTGCATAAGACCACCAGAACACATAAAGATCTTGTTTTCTCTGCGTCATTGTACAGCAAGACCCCCGAACCCATCAGTTGCTTTCTGTTTTTGTTGTGATTTGGGGATTTTCTTTTTGTGGGGAATTGGAGTTTGTGGGTGGGACTGGGGTTGATGTGTAGGGGTGTGTGGTGTGGATGTAGGAAGTTGTGGTGGTGTGGGGAGGTGTGGGGTGTAGGGTGTGGGTGTAGGAAGGTATAGGGGTGTGTGGTGTGGATGTAGGAAGTTGTGGTGGTGTGGGGAGGTGTGGGGTGTAGGGTGTGGGTGTAGGAAGGTATAGGGGTGTGTGGTGTGGATGTAGGAAGTTGTGGTGGTGTGGAGGTGTGGGGTGTAGGGTGTGGGTGGAAGGTATGGGGTGTGGTGTGGATGTAGGAAGTTGTGGTGGTGTGGGAGGTGTGGGTGGGTGTAGGAAGGTATAGGGGTGTGTGGTGTGGATGTAGGAAGTTGTGGGGGTGTGGGGAGGTGTGGGGTGTGGGTGTATGTAATGGGACCACACATGAAATACTGGACTACTTAATACCTGTGTAAGCGGACCGTCTCGTCTGGCAAAAACAACTATTGTTTTTATACATTTTATATAATTTTTATACATTAATGTTTATGTTAATACTTTTCTATCGTTTAGGGATTTTCTTTATTTTCTCGGCATTATTTTTGTTTCCATTTTTCCCATTGTGATAATTTTTCATTTTGCAACATTTTTATGCATAAGTTTTTGCCATATTACCCAACAATCTTTTCAATGTATTTTTCTATTTCTTCTCTTAAGACCAACTCTCGCGGAAATTTTATTTTTTTTCCCGATTCCTTAACCAGTTTTTGTTACATTTTATCTCATAATGTTGCAACTTTTTGTGCAACTAGTTATGGCCGTTTCTCCCTCTTTTTAGCTTAGTCGTGAATGACCTTGTACTGACCTTCTCTGTCCCTCAATGACCAGGTGTGTGTGTGTGTGCGTGTGTGTGCGTCCATGCAGGATTTTCAGGTTCTGGTTCTCCGATGTAAAAACCTGCATACATCAAGGTCATGAGGCCAGGAAGGTGTGGCTTAACTCAACAGGTATTGGTCTTCTAAAAGGAGATAATTAACCGTAAACTAAATCGAGTACACACCTGTAGACAACGTGTTCTTGACTTGTGTTGCTTTAAATCTCAATGTATAGCTAAAACGATATCTCTGACTTTGTAGGGTCACCCAGGTCCTTCCGAGACCCTTCCATGACCTCCTAAACCGTGTTAGGTCCTTCTAGATGATACCAAAGCCATCTCAGTCCTTTTAGTCCCTTCCAGATCTTCCCAAGACCCTCCAAAATAAGACCCTCCCAAGCCCTCTGAGCTCCTTCTGAATCTTTCCAAATCCTCTCAAAGCTTTCCTAATCCTTCTGTGTCCTTCCAAATCCTCCCAGGACCCTCCAAGGTGTCCCAGACCCTCCAGGTAAGCCTCGAGAAATGATACGATTGTTTACTTCACAAACTTTATTGAAGCCAAAAAAAACAAAATGGAAAAAAAAAACGTTACCCATGATCACAAGGTGCCGTGAGCTTCCCTGCTGTAAGGGCCTGAGTGTGGGGCTGTGGGGGCTGTGGAGCTGTGGGAAGCTGTGGGGGCCTGTGTGGCGGCCTGTGGGGGTATGGGGGAGTGTGGGGACTGTGTGGAGCTGAGGGGATGCGGGGCTGTGGCGGCTGTGAGGCGTGTGGGGGCTGGTTGGGAAGGTGTGGGGGCTGTTGGGGTTATGTAGGGGTGTTGAAGGTTTTGTGGGGTTTCTGTGGGGGCTTCTGAGGGCTGTAGGAGGTATGTGTGGAGCTGTGTGGGGCTGTGGGGGGCTGTATGTGTGGAGTGGAATGTTGTGGAGTTATAAATCAATCTGGACGTTTACACACACACACACACACACACACACACACACGTGAAGGTAACCATGCTAGAAATATTCAGATATATAATGTATAAGCAAACACTGAAGAGAATGCCACTACAAACATCGAGAAAGTAAACAGTGGTGCCATTTACAACTTATGAGAGAGGAATAGGTGCCAAATTTTGCTACGGGAGCCAAAATTGGTGCCAGATTACAATGGAAAATATAATAGATGCTATATATTAGAATAGGAGCCAAAATTGGTACCAACTATGAAATGGGGTACAGAATATGTGCCAGAAATTGAGTTTGAGGTTATATTCTGAGGTTAAATTGAGAATAATGCTATAAACTAACATTATAATTAACATAAGTGGGAAAATTAAACAAAATTTATATCAGAATAGGTGACAAATTTACATAGACAATCAAGAGTAAACATGTAGGTTATTATGGAGGGATTTTAACACTTTACAGATGAGGGAAACTTTCTCAATATTACAAAGAAAGATTAACTACTACGAATAACAGATAAAGACGAAAATAGAGATAGACAGAGAGAGAGACTAGCTAGTTCTAATATACTCGTCTAGTATAGTATATTATATACCATCAGAAATATAACCTAGCTCCTATAATCAACTGCTACATATAAGCCTAATATATCTTGGTCCAGTATAACCAGCGCCCTAGTATACTACAGTAATAATTTGACTTAATAGTAACATAAAGACCATAATTTGCTCTATGTCTCTCAGGAGTCATTGATTATATATCTCTCCCCGTCTCTCAGCGCCGGCGTCTGTTAACAGGGTCACTCTATAACCCAACATGACTTTCAAATATGACATTCAAGTATGACCTTCAAGTATGACCTCAAGCTGACATCAAACAAGCCTCAAAATGACATCCAGTGAGGGTCCTGTTAACTCCTGAAGCTACGATACATAAACTAACCAGCTTCTGTAACCTCGACTGACTTCAGTAGATCCGAAACGAGCGCTGGTGACGGAGGTGACCTGACCCTGACCCCAGACAAGAGCTTTGGTTGCTTGCTGAGCGCACAAGACCGTGAGAACCTTGGCCATGTCGTCCCCTTACAACAGGCAAAGTTCCACACTAACACCTAATACTATAGTTACCCCTTAAATTATAGTTTTCTTTTACTTAATTTACATTTTCTTTAATTAAATAATACTCCAAACTATTATTAATTTGTTTTCAACTTTTTTTTTAGGTTCTCTTTAACTATATAATATACTGAAGTTTTTACTACTTAAATGAAGAACTTAAAACTATAGTTAACCCTTAATTATAATAACATAACGCCATCATGAAGTCTTAAATGTATTATTTGACTATGACTAAAGTTAAATTATCAAAGCACGTATATAATTCTTAAGAAACTATAAAATACGAGACTACGAGTTACGAATCCCATTATAAAAAAGACGTATAATATATTCCTATAGGTATACATATATTAACTACATATAAAAAATTTTTAACTTTGTTTCTTCGTTAACTTTATCAAATACAAATTAACTAAAACATCTGTCGTAAATATTAATATCATATGTAATTTAACTTCACTGTTCTCTATGCAATCTGAAGAACCATGACACAGATTATATAGTTCTTCAGAGCACAGAGTTGTTATGGTGTCTATGGGGCGTCGTCTATGTCAGTAAAATATTATGTAAGAAAAATAACACTGAAGACAGACAAACTAATATTATGTCCGGTGAGTATAAAAAGAAACTGGTCTTCACATATTCATTATTATATTATATATACTTAAAATTTGTTTATATAAAAAATTTATTGCACTTAACACACACACACACACACACACACACACACGTAAGCCTAAAGCCATTACCATAACCACAACACCAACAGTGGCCAAAGTGCATCTGGCGAAGAAGTGCCTGGCAAAAGTTCTCTACAGCAGAAAGAATGATCGCCAGGCGTTGTTTTATCGCCTATGCTGGCCGTCGTGTGTTCAGAGTACCGACCTTAGTGTTCACCATTAACTAGTAAAGCACTTGTGGAATATAACAGTGACCAAACACAAAGAGAAAGAGAGAAGAGGTTTGTGTTCTCTGAAAAATAACATGAAAGTTTTTTTTTAACACAGTTTTATTTATCCACTACGATCTTGGGTATATAAATAGTTATAATATTTAAGATCTACACGTCCAGGTAACATTATCTGGCAGGGTGATCAGAGAGAGACAGAGCTAGTGAGTCTTTCCTCTTGTAAGGATTCCATTACTTTTTATCTCTGTAAAGCGTTGAGTGGTACTTTTTACACGATACAGTGAAAATGCTTGGCGTCCAGGAAATGAGTTTTGGGGTAAACTTCTATCTTTTTTTTTCATCTTCAACTCACCAGGAAGACTTTTCAAGATAACTGGATGACTATTGTAATATTTACTTCTTAGTTTCATCATCTGGCGAGACCTTTCTGGAGTCCTTCAGGCCCAGGAGCTATGAAGGGAAACTTCACGATACTTTATTTTTTTTCTTCATTTGGAGATGTTATCTGGAAGGCCCATGGCGGTATTTGAAGCCCTGGAACGAACTGGAACACTCTTGGGACACATCTTTCACTCTTAGAACTTATCTGGAAGGCTCTTGGGGAGTTCTTCTGGTCGGAGAACAGGTAGGAGGAACAATTGAGACAGAACATCCAGTAGAACAATCAACTGAGACTCTTGACAACTGTATCGTCCTCTGAAGCTAATTGGAGGACCTTTGCCATATATTGTCCACCTTAAAATATGATTGGACAAAGACACTGCTCACGTTACCCAAACCAGCTTCCTGCGACAGTTGTACCTTCTGGAGTCATGCTGGACTGGACCTCACAGACGGACACACCTCTGGATCTCTTAACACCTACATTCCTACATCATAAGAAGCTGCTATAGCTGGTCTCGATACTAATTCAAATACAGCTTAAAATACTCTGAAGATTTAGAAATTAATTTAATTTATAGAAAAATAAGCAAAATACAAGTTATGGAATGACCTAGCGTGATAATTATTATTTGTTTAAAGAGAATTATCATCAATGGAGAGGTAGGCTACAGTACTGACACTGGAACTTAAGTTAACAAAACGCTTGAAGTGGTGAGGACCACTTGTTCTCGTAACCTCACACGAAAGGCATATCACGTAGAAGAAGACGACCACCTCACGTAGAAAACGACCATCTCACGTAGGAGAAGACCTCTCACGTAGAAGTACACCATACAGGAGGGTCTCTACAGTCCCCACACCCTGACACCCATATCCCAGGAGGAGGTAGCGAAGCCGATGCCATTGTCAGTCACCGCCAGGGAGGTGATCCTGTTGTCGTGGCCTTGTAACGTTCCTGTAGGGGGAGGAGGAGGAGGGGGCGTGGCTTAGCGATTCATACATGTTACTAATAATAATTGTAGTAGTTGTAATAGTGGTAGTGGTGTATTCTTGTACCTGGCTAGTAATAGTGACGATGGTGACCCGGGTCCATTGAATCTTGTCATTATTTATTTTCCAGATGCTAAGATTACATTCAGTGGTATAGGGATCCTTACACGATGATAATTAAATCGAATATATATTTCTTTTATTTCCTGAATCTACCAGAACTTATCCCATTATATACTAAATGTCATAAAAGCAAAAACAAGAAGAACAAGAATATAAAACATGTAATATTAACTGACTTTTGTTTTTGTTAGATCCAGTTATTTACAGAAGGTGCTGGAATCTCTTATTTTTTGTGTTTACATAAAGTGTCTAGACAACAGCAACATCCAGATTGAAGTAGTTACCACCGTCTATTAAATCTGTCTCTTACTTTTATATAGTGGTGACGAAAGGTTGGGTTAGGTTAGGTTTTGTCCTACCTTAAACACAGACTCCCTGATGACGTAAAAGTGTCCAATGCCGTGTTCAAACCCCTTTAAAATATCCTTGAAGTGTCTAATGCTATTTCCAGCTCCTATAAATCTCCCAACAGCACCCAATACCATGTTTAATTCCCTTTAAGATGTCCCAAAAGTGTCCATTACCTTGGTGAGTGGTCTTCATGGTGTCCCAGAAGTGGATGGTGTTGTCATCGGAGCCACACAAGATGTAGCGGCCGGACTTGCTGAGGCCACAGCAGGTGAAGCCGGAGTTACTGGTGGGCGGCTTGTACTCCGCGAGCTGCTGGTCACTACGCAGGTCCCACATCCTCGCGGTCTTGTCTTCTGAACCAGACCCGATAGCGAAGCCTGATGGGTGGAACTGTCGGGGGAAGAGAGAGTGAGTGAGTGAGTGAGTGAGTGAGTGAGTGAGTGAGAGAGAGAGAGAGGTGCCGTGAAACGGCCATAGCTGTGAGGGGGGGGGTGGTGTAAGGCTGTGTTGAGTTACTTATGCCTTGTAAGTCTTTCCTGAAGGTGGTCTAGTTCTCCTGAGGGCGAGCTAGAGAATAGGTATTCATACAGACGATCTTAACAGCTATTTATAAGTGTAACAAATATATTACAGTTAAACCCTGAACTTATTTACACATCAATCACTAATTTAGGTCACAGAAATTTGAGGATAAGGAGGGGGGGTGGTGAATAAGGATTTCTGAAGATGTTCTAGGTCACAGGTACTCACGTAGACGGAGTTGACGTCGGAGGTGTGGCCCCAGAAGGTCTGTTTACAGGTCTTGGTGTCCCGTAGGTCCCACACCTTGATGGTCCTGTCCACAGACCCCGTCACGAAACAGTTCATATCAGGCGCCAAGCTCATGGTCGCTACGTCTCCACTGTGGCCGAAGAACTCAACCACTTTCTTCCCAGTCTGGACGTCCCAGTGGATCCTGAAGGAGGGGATGAAGGTGTAAGAATGTCCGAAGGAACCAATATGTAGGAAGGGAGGAAGGAAAGAAGGAAGGAGAGAAAACCAAAGAAGAGAGGAAGATGAAAAAGGGAAAATGTTATTATTTTATTTGTTGATGTCCCTCCTCGACGTCTCTGAAGAACAAAAAGACGAAGAAAAAGAGATAAAATTTAAAACGAAGCAAAAAACAAAAAAAAAGGAACGATCAGATGACGTGAAAAAAAGTTACAAGCACAAAAAATTAAATAAAAATCATTCCGCGAGATGAAGGAAAGATAGAAGCAGAGGCAAAAAAATAACAAAAATAAAAGTAGGAACAGGATACATGACTAAGCAACAAAGTATGGTGATTGTATCTCGTAAATCACTATAAGGTACAATGAAACTTTGTTATTGGTAAAAATCACGCTTTTTCTTCTTGTTATTTTATATGTATTTTTTTTCCCTTATTTTTCGTAAGTTAATTCTTGCTATTTTTCCCATTTATTCCTTTTCTTAAGTTCTATATCAATTTTGAGAGTTAGGGTTTTTTAGCCTGTGGGACAGGGGGGATGGGAGACAGGGGATGGGAGACAGGGGGATGGGAGACAGGGGGATGGGAGACAGGGATGGGAGGATAGGGGATGGGAGACAGGGGGATGGGAGACAGGAGAACAGGGCACAGGAGGACAGGGGCACAGGGGGGCAGGGGATGGGGGACAGGGGGATGGGGGACAGGAAGACAGGGGCACAGGAGGACAGGGGGATGGGGGGACAGGAGGACAGGGCACAGAGGGCAGGGGGCAGGGGAGGGGGGACAGGGAAGGACACGCATGGATGTAAGAGGGATGGTGTCTATTCTTCCAGGTGGGGATAGGAGGAGTCCTTATTTAGCAACCCAAAATACACCCACTACTACCACCCCACACACACCACTACACCCCACACCCTAATACACCACATTACAATTCTAACACACCACACTTCACACCCTAATACACCCCACACACCTTTACTACACCTCTAATACACCATCTAATACACCACACCCCACACACCACCACTACACCCTGTACACCACTACTACACCTCTAATACACCACTACACCCTAATACACCACTACACCCCTCTAACACACCACACACACCCTAATACACCATCTAATACAATTACTACACCCTCTAATACACCTCTAACACACCATCACACCTCTAATACACCACTACACCTCTAATGGCATTGCCATCACTACACCTGTAATACACCACCACACACCCTCTATTACACCCTCTAATACACCACTACACCACTACTACACCCTCCAATACAACACTACTACACCCTCTAATACACCATCTTAATACACCACCACTACACCCTCTAATACACCACCATCTACACCCTGTAATACACCACTACTACACCCTGTAATACACCACTACTACACCCTCCAATACACCATCTTAATACATCACCATCTACACCCTGTAATACACCACTACTACACCCTGTAATACACCACCACTACACCCTCTAATACACCACTACACCCTCTAATACACCACTACTACACCATCTAATACACCCTCTAATACACCACTACACCCTCTAATACACCACCACTACACCCTGTAATACACCACTATCTACACCCTCTAATACACCATCTTAATACACCACTGATATACCTACACCTTCATGTCCCCAGATCCGGTGATAAGGTTGGTGTCATCAAGGAATCGCATGGAGGAGAGGAAGCCTTCATAACCCATCAACTCACGGGAGATCTTAGCGGCCCCTGTAGAGTCCCTGTTATTGATGTCATGTACGGTACACTGGTTGTCCATCCCCCCGCTGGCTGTGAGAGGTCAACAAATGCCGTCACAGGTCAGTATAGAGGTTAGGGAGAGGTATTAGGTCACTGGAGGTTATAATAAGGTCATGGTGATGGTTCATGATGGGGTGTTAGGTCATTAAGTTGTTATCAGTATTAAAAAGATAAACGAGGTTAGTTGGAATAGACAATTGGACAGAATGATGGTTAGACAGGTGAGTAAAGACACACACACACACACACACACAAAAAGACGGGGATAAGGTGACAGTCGTGAACCTTAATAGACAGACAGACAGACAGGACTCACCGACAAAGTTGCCAGACGGAGAGAAGGCGACGGACATGACCCAAGCTGACATGAGAGGGATGATCTGTGTCTTGTTACCTGTGTAGATGTCCCAGATGATGAGCTTACCATCTAGGGATCCGGACACCAGATGCCTACGACACACAAAGACACACGTGAGACAAGAGAGAGAGACAAAGAGGAGACACGTGAGAGAAGGAATGAGATATATTAATTGATACGTGAGAGATAATGAGAACCTATGATGCCTATACTCACCTCCTCCACCACCCCCCCCCTCACCTCACAACCCCTTACTCCCCTCACCCCTTACCCCTTACTCCCCTCACCCCTTACCCCTTACCTGCTATCACCGGAGAAATGGACACTGTTGACCTTGTTGAGATGTCCTTTACA